TCTAGTTCTTGGTCACCTCGAGGCCCGGGGCCTCGGCAATTTCACCCGTCTAGCTCATGATCATCTTCGCCTCCGGACGACGCCCGTCGAGCTGGGCTTGGAGCGTCCGGGAACCCCGAGCCTTGCCACGCCACTCATTCATCCTTTGGGTGGCGGTGCGCGATAAGCCGAAGACTATTGACGGCTCACCATTTATTCTCTCCGACCCCGTCGTTCCTTATGTCGGACGGAGCTTGAATCTCACGCCCACTTATTCTTTGATTGCTCTTGGACCTCCGCTCTTTTGGATAAGATCCGTTTCGGCTTGGTATTCCGTGGACTATATCTACCCTTCCCGGCGCCACGAGAGGCCTCTCTCGTAGGCGAAGAAATATGGTCGCTCGGATGCGGAGGGTCTCTTTAGGGATCACGGTCTACCTTATCCGGGAAGAACGCAACGGGCGTTCTTTTGATGCAACCTCGCCGCCTACTACTCGTCGATAAGATATTTCGGAGGTTTCGATTTTGTTTTTCATAATCCTTCACTTTCATGATCCGATTACTACTGCTCCGGCCTAATGCCTTCGCGATTTCTTATTGCTAGCTCTCTTCGGGTTTACCAAGACTTGCACAAATTACGACCCGTTTTGTTTCTCTGCGGTCGAGCTTAGCTCCTCGCTAGCTCGCCTTGGGCTTTCACTCGGCTCGTTTTTGATTCGTTGTTGAGCCTTTGTATATGGTTCCGGTGCACTAGGCTCGTTAGTTTCTTGGTTCGTCTTGGAAACTCGCTCAATATCCATTTCCTAGGCCAACCTTTTGATTCTAGTTTCTTAGCTTTGGTTCGTAGGGAGCATGTTCCCTTTTTCTTATACAACATGTACATGCTACTTTGCCGGTTCCGCCTAGTTTCTTGATTTATATACTAACATTTAAATAAATAAAAAAAAGCACGGAGTTGAGAAGCAGTACGTTATGACGTCTAAGTCTTCCCGTCTGGCGAGTCCTGTCCGTTTTTCTTTATTCTTGACGATCGAAGCCAATAGCAACACTTTATATTTATTTATTTATTAAATATTATGACGTCTAAGTCTTCCCGTCGGCGGTTATTGACGATCGAAACTCCGCATTCGACTCGATATTATAGCAATACTTTATATTTATTTATCTTTGAAATATTTTTTTCATTACAAATTGATAGAATGACAACGTCATTAATTACCCACTCGTACTCGACACACAAACAAAACCATAATCCCAAAATTAAGATTAACGGCAATTATATGCTTACACTAGCTTTTATGAATCATATTTTTTAAATGAAAAAAAAATATAACTTGAAAGTTGCCAAATTGTAGCCCATGATATGACTTTTAAAGGATTATTTATTTACATACTAATGGATGATTAGTTATTGATTACTACTGTCAAAAGGAAAGAGGATCCATAGTTAATTAATTTGACAATCGTTTTACATGACATCTTGACACTATCAATGAACGAATTGCTTATAGGCTCAAAATTAAGTTTTCTAGTTCAACTTATTTTCTCGTGATAGCTTAATTGGATAAGGTTGGCGAAGTGGCCAAGAGGAACAATCCCATTTATCTTCAAAAGATATACACACCTTTTGTAATTTGAACTTTAACAATCTCGAGTGCAAAACCTTCGTTGGATCACTTGCCCAAACTTTACTTCGTGGATCATCATCCATTAAATAATATTTATTTAATTTGTACTCTTTTTGTTTTAAAAAATGATTAGTGCCTATATTATCTTTCATTTTGGTATGTTCTAAAATTATTGTCCATTATATATATATATATATATAAATCAAACTGTTAGTTATTTGGTTTCTTATTATACCCCTAATTGCTACTTCCTCGAGTCTTTTAACCCAACTACTCTCTTTTTTATTTAAGTGTCGTTTGGTTATAAGGAATGAAAAGTTTGAAATGAGAATATAGGAATCGAAATGACACTTGTATTTTCATACTCGTGTTTTGAAAATTAATGAGGAATCGGAATGCAATTTAGATTTTTTAATATCTAATTTTTTTATACAAATAAAAATAATGATTAAAAAAATAATTTTATCAAACTATAATAATTGTAAAAATAATAACGGTGATGGTAGTGGTGGTGGTGGTAATGGTTATGACGGTGATGATGGTTGCAATTGTGGTGCTAGTGCTAGTGCTGATTGTGGTGGTGGTGGTTATTATTATTATTGTGATGGCGGTACTAGTTGTGATAATGGTGATTGCGATGATAGTAATGGTGATAAAAATAGTTAATAGACAATAAATAAGTAAAATATATTATTATTTTGAAAAAAAATTTCATTCTCATTCTTTATTTTTATTCTCATATCTTATGTGAGAATGAAGTTATGTGTAAATTTTTATTTCTATTCTCACTCCTCATTCCCATTTTCACTTTATTCCTTCTAGCCAAACAGCTATAATGTGGGAATAAAACTTTCATTCTAATTCCCACCACTCTATTCATGATTATCAAATAATACCTTATAATATTAGATACTCTAAAATTTATTCAAATAAAAAAACAAAATAAAAGATAAAATGAGTAATTTTGAACTTTGACAATGTTATTTTTAATGAACAAGAAAAAAAATACATTTTTAACATTAAATTTTGAGATTTTACAAAAATACAATTAATTATGTTGTATAAATCCGAATATTATTTACTACCTACAGTATGTAAAAGTAATAATAATAATAAAAATTGATTCATGCATTAAGATTTTAAAACCATCTCAATTTGTTACCGGTAAATAGACCCCTTGCTGCTAGGCTAATTCTATCAATTTGTTAGATATTTTACTATAAAATAAAACAAATATAACATCAGAAAGTAACTTCAAAACAAAAAACATGATATACTATTAATTATCTATATTTTTTTAACTTCAAAACAAAAATACCATCAGAAAGTATTTAGACCTATAACTATTTATTCGTTAAAAACTGACAAAAGAAACATAAAGATCTTGTAAAATTGTGGCCTTACTTTCAAATGAGTAAATTTCACTTAATTCTCACGACATTTTAAAAGATTTATTTTATATTGATAAAAATATATTTTATGAAACAAAAATAAAAATATATGTATCGTAAACAAAAAAAAAAACATTTTAAGATTCAAAGACTATATAATATTTAATCCTTCTGTCTCGTCCACATCATAACCGTTACGTACAGATCCTCAAATCAGAAATTAAAATAAACAATCCTATTCAAATGATAGACCGATTTGGTATTACATATTATAATTTTTCGAGGTTGGTCAAATAGTTGAAAATGTTTGCTTTCATTTATTATTTATTGGGTTTAATTTTTAAAGAGAGTAAAATTAGAAAATTTTATTCAATTCTTCTAAATATATTAAACTTAATTTTAGTTAACTGATCAGAAAATTTTATAATATTAAATGAGTAACTAATGACATATACGAGTAATTACTCTATAAAATTACTTGAAGAAAAGAGATATAATATACATAAAATTACATTCAGATTCATAAAAAATATAAAAAAAATTTTACTTTCATTTAATTTTTTTTAATATATTTATCGCTTTCCTCTAAGTAAATTTATAAAATAATTATTATATATATCTTTAATTATAAAATTTCTCAACCCAGCAGTACTTTTGTCATGGAATAAAAAAAAGAAAAGAAAAATACTGCAGCTGACTAACTCTTTCTGTCTTCCTATTCATGTCCTTTTCTCTTATTATCTATCATTCATGATCCTTCCTCTCCCTTTCACCTATTGAAAAGAAGAAAAGACGATCTACAAAATGACATAAAAGTCCCTAATTTTAAACACAATTGTTGAGACAGAATTAGGCCAAAACCAAAATCTCTCTTTACTTCTTCCCCTTCTTTTTGTCTGGCTGTGGGCCTCTCCTTCTCTTCTTTTTCTATGCATTTGTTTACAAGTTGCTGTGGATCTCTTCTATTGAGGTTCAGTTGAGCAGATCTGTGAATTGCAAAAGTTTTGCCATTTAATAATAGGAACAATGAATACAATTGAAGAAAACAAGAAGAGAAGCGAAGAGAGGTGGAAGCTTTGATATATTACTGTGTGTGTCATTATATTATCAGGTTCTTGTTTTTTCCTTTTATTTGTTTTCTGTTCTTCAATGTTTTGCTGAAATGCAAAATTTACCTTCGAAATTTCTTGGTTTTTCTTTTGTTGACGATTAGAATTCTGGGTTGTTCGTTTTTTAGTGGATAGACATTTGTGGTATGTGTAATTATAATGCCTGTTTAATGGAATGGTGGACCTTGATTTATGACTTTTTTTAGAATTAATGTGGTAATCAAAGTGTAATTATTTGGACTCAAATGTTTCTTTTTTAATGCTGTTAGGTTCATCTTGATTGATTTTATTTATTTATTTATTGCTTCTTGCAAAATGTAGCGTGTTTTTGAACTTCTAGGAATTGTAGGTCACAGTTAGATCCTGGAAATTTTGTAACTCGACAGTTTCTTTATTAAATTTTTTGATATTGCACTCTCTGTTTTTTTTTTTTTTAATTTCCATGGAAATTTTTCTGGTTGATAGTAAATGAACTTGTTTTTAGTTTTTCAGTGTGTGATATATGAAAATTTATAGTCAAATTTTAGAGTAGGTAATTAATATTTAGCAAAGATATGGAATATAATTGTTCAACTTGTTTTTGATTAATGAGAGCTGCGTGGAAGGTCATATAGCTAAAAATTGTGTGTGATGACATAGCTGTTGAGGTGGCCGTATCTCAAAACATAGAACATAGAAGCACGAATGGTCGTATCTAAATGATCCCTTTTTTTCTTTTTCCCCTATTGTTCTTGCCTTGCAGCTGAAGCCTCCTGAAGGGCAAATATACCACGTGCGGGCATCTTATGGTGGTTTTTTCCTGATCATCTTTGCTGTTACTGATTTTAACCTAGCTCGTGGAATGCTTAGAATATATTGAAATCTGTGGGATTGCCCTTTGTTGTGTAATAGAGATGAAAGGAGCAAATATTTATAGAATGAAAGGGAGACATCTTTCTGTTACTCTGCTTGTCCTCACTTTTACAACCATATTTCTCTGGGCATGGGAAAAGAATCCTTTTGTTACTACCATGCAGTCAGCGCAAGAGCAGTTTAATATTCATACTTCAGGTTTGCTTCCCATTTAACTGTTCACATGGATATATAAATGTACTTGTTTGTGTATATGTGTGGGTGAGGATGTGTAAAGGGAGAGCATAAATTCCTGATGATATAACTTTGCAACATAATTGCTCGATGAAGATGGAGTATTAGAGAGCTTCTAGATGGGGGTAGACTTGTGCTTTGTCCTTTTTGCTAAAAATCTTGAAGGGTAAATGGATGGTAGCTTTGATGTTTACTTTGACCTTATTTTTCTAGCTGTGTTTGGCCCTGTCTGGTATTCAACATTTTTCTGAAGTGTCTATATAACTGAAGTTACCAGATAACAAATGCAACAGAGTAAAGATTTTGATAAAAAGTTTTTGCTTCAACATCTGAGAGAAGTTCCTGGCTGACTCTGCCTTGTAAGGTTCATTTCTGCATTTTCTTACTTGCAGGAAAATTGCCAAAATCCTTAATAAAATTTACGAGCACACTTATTAGTACATTCTGTATGATTTAAATTCACATAGATTGCATTTCTACTTTTATATGGAAACGACTCAAGTTAACGATGGCATATCATACCTATGGACAAGGTTCATTGCCATAAAACTCCTGAAAGTGCCCTTTTGCGTTATCTTTTCTTGAATATTTATAGGCTGGCTGAAGTAGGATATTAGCCTAGATATACTTATGTAGGATCAGGATGTATTTAGGTAAATAAGGTAGAAATATAGCTATGAACAATTTCAGTGTCAGGTGAACGCTTACGATTTCTGTTCACCCTATGACTTCTTGAAGCGTAGAAGTGCCTCTAGAATGTTTATTGCTTTCAAAGTGCAATGTTTCTTGGAATCATCCGTGTTTCAGAAATCCTTAACAAGAGGGAAGCTCAGGTTCTCTATTTGCTACTTCTAATGCTGAGTGCCTTTTCTTTGACATTGAGATCCATCTGTGGATTATGTTCACTTGAGGGGTCTAGCCAAGTTCCTTTGCAAATGTCCATGATTCATCTTCCATTAAACCCAGTTTCCTTAACTCTTCCTTTGGTTAATTACATCTGGAAAGCCAAGTTACCATCTCAGGTTAAATCTTTTAATTGGATTTTGGTAGTTAACTAGAGTGAAACATGACTTATTGTGAGTCAGGAGGTCTCATAAGGCCCCATCACCTAGTATTTCCATTATGTAGTGCAGTGGTGGGAGCTATATCTACAGTTTTCAATGGTTTGGGATATGTAGTAGATTGTACCTAGTATGCTGGATGAAGTATCATTGGTTTATTTAGGAGAGGGAAGGATGGTAAGTCCATGTGGTGGAGGTTTGTGTTGTGGTTACTGTTGTTTGGAGCAGAGCACCAGATATTTTGAAGGACCATTCTATTGAGGCAATTGTAATGGGACTGCATTTTTCTGGTTACTTATGGGGTAGTGTTTAAAGGGCTAGTCTCCTTAGCTAATATTCAGTGGATTGCAAGCTCTATTGTCTCAATTTTTTTCTTTCTTGCTGTATCCTAGGTGGATGTGTTATTGCCACCCTTTTATTCATTCATTTTCTCTTTATATATCTTCCCCCCCCCCCCCCCCCCCCCAAAAAAAAAAAAAAAAAAGGTCTTTGGACTGGATAGCTCCAAGTAGAAATAAATAAGTGACTGGAATAGTATTAGGACTATTCTATTTATACTTGCCTGTAGTGTTGGTATTGGAATAGATAGGTGATCAGACCATAAGCTTTGTTTTGGGGCATAAAAGGAATTGTTTGTAAACCAGGTTTGGTTTGTTTACCTGGTTTGTTTATATTGTGTATTTTGCTGGTTGAGTTAATATTCATTTTTTATAGTTATGAGTGTTAATTGATTTCTTCTGTACACCATATAAATCATGATGTTGCGTAATTTTATTTCATGGTTATTGGCTGACTTACTCCTTTTTCTCTTGTTTTGGCTTAGATTTTGTTATTTATACCCCCAAAAGCTCATCTTCTGATTATTTGACCCCAAACGAGCATGTTGAGGAAACAGATTCTGAGTCTACAAGATCAGAAGAATCACAAGTACCAGAAAAAGAATTTGATGCCTCAAATTTTACCAACTCATTTGTTCCTCATATGGAAGATAGTGGTTCAGATAGGACACTGTCTTCTAAGATAAAAGGTACCAACCTTTTCATTTACAACCATAAATCATTATTTATAATAACTCTAGGAACTTTAGGTTTTCCATTCTATAACCAGAGTGTACTCAATATCCTTGTGATCAGGGTGTCTTGTAATGATCACTTGCCAGTTACAACTGTGGTTTGCATTTGTACTTTGCTGGTTTATACTCAATTTACGAGCTATAATCAACCTACTACAACAATTGTTTTTGAACATGGGAACAATAATCCGTGACAGTGGAATCTTTTCTTTTAGCTGATAGGAGAACATAATATTACAAAGAAACAAATGATGATACCAAGATAGAGCGACCTATAGGAACGCAAACGCATGTATCTAGGGTTTGGCTTATTGGTATGACTGCTTGTTGCCATAATCATTAATTAACCAATGCCGAAGTTTGGATTCACGGTATGCTAAAGATAAAAGGATATTGGGATCCAAGCAGCACGCTGAGTTTAATGCCTTTCATGTCACTCTTTTTGCTTTTTGTTGTTTTTGTATTCCAGCATGACAATTATATGTTCTCCTCTTTAGTATTGCGCCAGGCCAGGCTATCCTGTTATGTGTTGTATATAGCTTTTTAAGATAAGTTTTTGCTGTTAGATGTGATGGTAGGAAATTGAAATAAAAGTGGGAAAGAATGGAAAAAAGGATCAACCACGCCGATCTTCCTTGTGAATTGGCTATATTTTTGTCCTACAGCTGACACCATGGCTTACTACTTTATTTCGTAGGGTAATTTAGTATGAGTGAAACTACTAGACTTTCCGTTGAAGTGCAAGGTGTTCCGTTGAAGTGTAAGGAAGGTCCTTATAATGCAGCAATAATTATGGAAATCAAAAGCATTGGAGGACAGAATAGACTTGAAAACTGATAACTTTTCAGTTGGGTAATCGTAATTACTTGTGGGATCTGAATGTGTGGCCTTTATAATTTAGATACCTTGTGCTGCTATCGATAGCAGAAAAATCAATTTGCAGCAAAAACTTGAAATTTTAAAGAAATTCCTGTTGAATAGGAAACCACACATTGAAGTTTAAAGTCTCCTGTCTGTTTTTTATGAAGTCTATAACTTTGTTGTGAATCTTTGGTAGTTATGACTTATGCATGCTCCAAAGTCTGAATTTTGAGAGTGCTGTCATCATTGCAGACTGCAATTATTCCAAAGGCAGATGGGTTGCAGAAAGCCAGCGGCCTTTGTATTCTGGGTTTGAATGTAAACAGTGGTTATCTGAAATGTGGGCATGTAGACTAACCCAGCGGACAGATTTTTCATTTGAGGGGTACCGTTGGCAACCAGAAAACTGCAAAATGCCGGAGTTTGAGAAATCTGCATTCTTGAGAAGGCGAGTTTTATTTTTTTTCTGGTTTTGATTCTGAAAGGATAACATATGTTCTGTTGTTCTCCAACCCATCAAACTAAGACATCTTGTGTTCAGTTCCCTGATTATTATTGCATTCCAGGATGCAGGACAAAACAATTGCATTTATAGGAGATTCATTGGGCAGGCAACAATTCCAATCTTTGATGTGCATGGCCACTGGCGGAGAATGGAGGGCTGATGTTGAAGATGTGGGAAGAGAATATGGTCTTGTTAAACATCGTGGAGCCATTCGTCCTGATGGCTGGGCTTATCGGTTTTCAAACACCAATACCACCATTTTGTATTACTGGTCAGCAAGCCTTGCTGACTTAGAGCCTTTGAATAGCACTGACAAAGCCACTGATGTTGCTATGCATCTGGATCGTGCACCAGCCTTCATGAGACGATTCCTTCATCGGTTTGATGTGTTAGTTCTTAACACAGGACATCATTGGAACAGAGGGAAGATCACAGCAAACCGTTGGGTGATGTATGTAAATGGGAAGCCCCTTAGAGATAAACAACTCATGGCAATTGGGAATGCCAAGAATTTTACAGTGCATAGTGTTGCCAGGTGGCTTGATTCACAGCTCCCTTCTCATCCTCGACTTAAGGCATTCTTCAGGACCATCTCACCAAGGCATTTCCGCAATGGGGACTGGAATACTGGTGGTAATTGTGACAATACTACTCCCTTGACTGGAGGGAGCGAAATCTCACAGGATGAATCAAGTGATCCAGTTATTGCAGCAGCTGTTAAAGGTACAAACATCACGCTGTTGGATATTACTGCTCTCTCTGAGCTAAGAGATGAGGGTCACATCTCAAGGTACAGTGTTAAGGCAACAACAGGTGTAAATGATTGCCTGCATTGGTGCCTGCCTGGCATTCCAGACACGTGGAATGAACTTCTTGCAGCACAGGTATAGAGTTAGCCCCCGCAATTAACATAAAGATGGACAAATGCAGAGACCAACAATGGAAACATTTTATGATCAAATATAATTTTTTGATACACAGGTTTTTTTTTATGACTATCTTATTGATTAGAAGAGAACAGGTGAAGCATCTAGCTAGTTCCATCCCATTTCTCATATTCATATAGGATTGGATCTCTTATAGTCTAAATCCACATAATAGCAGTTGCCAGATAAAGCTGGCAAAGCTTGAAGAATAGTTTTGGACCCCAAGTTCCGGAGTTCAACATTTCTGAGAGAGGTATTATTTAATTCCCGTTTGTCTCAATTGAAGAAAAGATTTACTCAGCCTCCCAATTTGGTAAATGGTAAATTGTATTTCTTCATCCTTTCATCATTTCATAGCAGTTGATGTTGCAGGTATAATTAGGTCAAATATGTTTGAACTATTGTATTCTGTTCAGCAATTTTTTTATATCTGAAGTTTTTGGTGTTCTCGTTTTGTCTCACATGCTTCTTAAGTTTTGTATTTTCTGTCAATCACTTGCACCCATTTTGCCCTTTTGGTGAGTCTAAGCCATAGTTTAACATCGTTGTTGAGATTAGGGGTTATACTGGTTAACCATAGTTATGATTTTTAGATATAATCATAAACATAATCAAAACAAAAATAAATACTCAACCATAATCATAACAATCAGTTATGAATTTTGGATAATTATATACAACCATAGCAATCGATTATGAATTATCCATTTGGTTTAACATTAATCATTCATGTTTTTAAAGAAACATAATGAATGAATGAATTTAACAAATTCGTATAATCATTATATTAACACAATCATTAATAATAATAGTTTTTGCATATAAAAATATCTTAATAGGTTTAGAAACAGTAAAATCATCTAAACTTCTCGAAGCTAACTATTATTAAATGGTTATTTTTTTCAAGAATAATTTTAATTTTGAAAAATATTTAATAATTCAATTTATTTATTTATTTACTAGATGGATTGATTACAAATCATTAATTATTCAATAACAAAAGTCAAATCTATAAACAATAAATCATTTAAACTTTCTCAAAGCTATTTATTACTAATTTTTTTAAATTAATTTTAATCCTTAATAAACAATAAAAATGCTTAAAAAGACATTGTTTTAAGTGTTTCGATTAATTATCAATATTTCGACCCTCGAGTTTACTAGATAAGGATAAAATTTATTAAAAATTAATAATTTTAGATGTAGATTACCTAAATTAATAATATAATTTTTATTTTATCACAATTCTAATTGTTTAGGATAAATTATTTAAACTATATATATGTGTGGATACGCATGCATGCCTCGGAGTGTTGCTTTTATTATGTTTTCTGAGAAGCTAGGGATGATGCGTGGTTGAAAGTATTTTTGGTTTGAAATGACAAACGCCATAATTGAATAATCAAAATGCTGATACAAATATGTTTTTTTTATAATAAGGCAAACCCTTTTTCTTACACGTGGTATACTTTATATAATAAAGTGCTAATATCAATTCCACTAATTTAATTGTTTCATTTGTTGAGGCCGTAGGCCCATTAAATTCCACTCAGTTGTTGAGGCCTTAGGCCGAAAAACAGCTTCAATTGCAATGCCAATCTTTAATCATTTGGAATCGATTACATTTACATTGACACAATTATTTTATTCGTTTTGTATATTTTATAAGCTCTTTCTCTTATGTATACAAACTTTTTTTTTTTTTTTTTTTAAGAAAACTGAACAAATACAGATATAATTAACAAACTTTCAAGAAAAAAACTTTCAACTACTTATAAATTTTAAAGAGATTCGATGGAACATGTTTGTGTAAGTGGATACAATTTTGTAGTCATTACAAGACAAAATTCTTCATAAATATCTCTTCAATATAGACAGCTTGAATCATATCAAAACTAACTTGAAAAGGCATGTTGTGTTATAGAGGAGTAATTTAATCATGATTTTTTTTATTTTTTTTTACGAAAAGATAAACTCATCAGTCTTACTTGTATCAATGTTAGATATATTAATTTAAAATATGTTTATCGTTGAATTAAAAATAAAAATAAAAATCATCACCCATTGTTTTATAAAATTGGTACTTCCACCGTGGTTCTCAACGATTTTATCGTTGAGAATATTATATGTCTGAGTCTTTTTTAGTATTGGATTTTAAAAATTCATAAAAACACTAATGAAATAAGGGTTGAGTCTTAATTATTCTAAATTTTTTTAGTAATTATGTGATTAGAAAAGATTATTTTTGTTGTATAGTCCAAAAACTTATAAGTTTTATGATCAATAAAAAAAGAAAAACCCTTATAGAATAAATTTTTTTTTTTTATAATGATATTTGCTGTTAGCTTGTTTAAGTATTAAAACTTTAGTAAGAAAAACGTTAGTGCCCATTGTGGGAACGGAAAGGCATATAGGAACATCAACGAAATTCGAATTCAATGTACTATGACAAAATTGACCAAGTATTCCGGCTACTGACTAAAAAGTAGTGTAGAAAGTTGCGGGAACAGAAGAATGGCATGTAGAATAGTCAACCGCTGCTGTATGGGATGATAAATGAAAATCTTTTATTTGACAAAAAAAAAAAAAAAAAACACAATAACTATTATTATTAATTTTAAAATAAATAGATTGATCTGACTTTATATAATATTCAAAATATCTTATATTTTTTTATTTTTTAATTCAATCTTATTTATTTTTGAAAATATTTAAAATATTCAATATATTTTTTCGATCAATTTTTGAGTCATATGAAATTTTTTATTGAAATGTTTCTGATTGAAAAAAATCTAAATGCTTAAAAAATAGAACATGCAGGTCTTATAACTTTAAATATTTTTATAAAGGGTATTTTATTTAAAAAAAATTATGGTTGAAAAATTTAATCGAAATGATAAATTAAATATTTTAAAAAAATTTAAAAACATATGAGATGTAATTAAAAATTTAAAAATTAATGAAAGATTTTGAGTATTACATAAGAATAGATATGCATATTTACTTTTTTTTTTTTAATTTTTTTTTAAGCAATGAGAAATCTGTAACTTCTTTTGAACTCTTATGATTAATCTTTTATTGTTTGAGACTGATTATGCCAAGTCGCATCAGTTTTTTTGATCTATAAGAGCTTATCTTACTTATTTTAGGAAAAAATTTTACGCCTAATGTTATATATATATGTATCTTGGAGTCAGATTTTGTGTAAATGGAAACTAAATCCACTCTTTTTTTTATTTTTTATTTTTACTTCTTCTTTCTTCTTCTTTTTTATTTTTTATTTTTTGCTTAACAGCAATGTGTATTATGCATTGAACTTATCGGCTGTATTTATTTAGATTAAATCGGAAAGACATTAAATATTAAGTTTGCTACCAAAGTCATCTGGAAAAGACATAATATATGATACATCGAACTCAAAACGCTCTAGGCCCCACGTTTTTCGCAACGCCCCAACCCTTTTTGACAATCGTTTGCATTTCTGGACGAATCATTCCCTTTTTTCACTGACGTCTAATCCTGCTTGCTTTATTCTCTGCCATGATTGAGGATTGTGATACTCCAGGATGTTTGATGAAGAAATTAAAAGGCATTTTTGGTAAAAAAAAACTACTAGATAGAATTTTTAATACCATAAAAACTAATCAATTAATTTTAATAAAGTATAGGAATGAAGATATAATTAACAATCTCGGCCAATGAATTATAGCTAAAGTATGGCTTCTGGGCTACACAGTACAGGTATTGATCCTCAAATTTATGTTCTAAACCAATTCTCTTTTAGTTTATCATCATTTGAAGATAGGTGAACATCACAATAAAAACGATTGGAATGTCTCCTAAGGAGAAAAGTTGCATTCTTTTATTATCCACGGACTTTGCAATAATTACTTAGAAAATTTGTTGTTGACTATAGTAGAACGTTTTGCATCTTGAAGGAAAAAGAGGAAGGCTTGGTCCTTTATAGAAAACTTCTTGCAATAACCTAATCTTTTGGGTCCTGCCGAATTTCAAACAGTAATGCATGTATTGTCCAATTATGATATATATATATATTGTAAAGTATCTCTAATCGGTTTTCGCATTAATCGATATTAAGCGACGAGAACACATTTAACCTTTAGTGGATCACTGAATGTTTTCTTAAACCAAATAAACTCAAGTTTGATATCATTAAAAAATAATTATTGCTAGTTATTTGTAAGTAGTGGGACCAAATCTCTTATAGTTTATCATCACTTGCATTCCTAGTATGTTTATAAAAAATTTCTCTTATAACTTTTTTTTTTCAAGGCTAAACTAGCCAAACCTTTTCTAAACTTAAAGTTATTTGGGAATTAATTTATGTATTCTCAATTTCAATTTTGATTTTCTTATGATTTGATATTATATGAAATCAAGTCCTTTTATTACTTTTACATAATTTCTCCATATTTTACATATAAAAACTAATGAATTGACTTAAATACCCTCAATATCACAACCGAATTGATTATTAATTTTTTTTATAGAATAATTTTATTTCTTATTTGGATCAAGATGGTTTTTCATTTTTATTTAAGAATAAAGGTTGTTCCTTTTAAAAAGATGATGTTTTATATTGAAATATTGAATCAATAATAGTTTATATGTTTTGAACATAAACACACCCATTTATAATATTAATACAAAAAAAAAAAAAAAAAATACAAAACAAATGACCTAAACAAACTTTTATATGTGGCATTGTCGACTTGGCCATATAAACAAGAATCGCATATCCAAATTGCATAAAAATAGATATTTAAAATTATTTGATTGTGAATCTTGTCAACTAGGCAAAATGACAAAATCCACTTTGAGTGAAAAAAGGTGAAAGAGCTACCGATTTGTTAGGCCTCATACATTATAATACCTAAAAACTTTGCATGATAATATATTATGTGTATATGTGTACAAATGTGCTTTATTTATGCATGCAATTT